CCAAATGGATACCCATACAGAACTACGAACTCAATTCTAGGCGACCTCGCCACTAACAGATTGTCATACACTATTAACACAGAAACCTTGCCTACGATACCCCGCAATGCCCATGCTAACCAAAACTAATCAGATCCCTACCACCCATTCGTCGAGTACTAAGATATAACTCATAACACAACCATCAGACAAGAGCATCAATGCTCACAACATACCAACACTAGAAACGATCATAACCCATCGGACATCACATCCCGCCACTCCCAAATGACAACCCATATGCCATAAAATAACACTTTACCACCCATTCTATTACTACCTTCCTAGATGATATTATCTCGATCACCATGCACACCCGACTCGTGACCTCAGTCACAATAACTTACTGATTCGTCAAAAGAAAATGGTGTCTATCTGGCAACATCATCCCCACTAGCTCTAAAAGGCTAAACAGTCCGCAATCGCCTCGACTAGCGCATAACCCCATCACCTACCTGACAACACATAACAAACAACTTACAATCTATAATCCATCCTCGGATCATACCTGAAACCATTCTGCTCATCAGTACTAAACATTATGCCATAATATCTCTACTATCATCATCCTCGAATGACAACTCAAACTCACGTCTCACCGACTCAACAGGATACCGCCAAGCGATCTCTCTTCAAGCATCCCTAGGATTACACCATTATAATAAGAGAGTATGCCTCACTCTCGACACTCCCCACAGTAACCACTACATACCACTAGGATAGAACCTTTACACGGCAATGCCATGCCGACAGATCCCAAAGAAAAGGAATGAGCACAAAAACCAGAATGCTCAACACCCAACTGTCTCCTCAAACCATCTATAATATAATTAGTCATTAACACTTAATTAACTTCTCCAACCATTCTTCCTAAAACAATCTACATACTCAACCAAAAAAACCTTACACCCTAGCGTCAACACCATCACTTTCCCTTTTTACGATTCCTCTGAACACCCCTGGCCCCGATAAAAGTCAAATGGGGCTACCAACTAAACCTACGAGATTACCCTCGTCATAATCATTCTAATCATCAGTCTATCTCTTCGGTTCCTCAAACAACTAGCATTTCAATGACCCCATACTACCTGCCTTATCGTGCAACCTTGCACTATACAGCTAAAACTGACCACTATACCTTACCTCGAGACTTTCTCGACAATCATGACAACCTATAACCCCGTTCATCCACCATGTTATGTAATCAACTCACCGAGAGTCACGCTCCTATACCTGTCCGAAATGAGGATCACTCCTCAATAAACTAGTCTATAAAACAGATTCTTACAAGACCACGAAATGATCCACATCTCACAATCGGACATCCGGCACTGGCATGACTCCAGTCAATGCCTACGTCACCCTAGACCTACAGAGTCCAACAATCCCCTTAACAACCATGACCAACACGATTCCTTAAACTGTACCAAAATACTCGAAATACACGTCTACAACCCATAGACTACACTCGTGACTCAAGCAATCCCCTATCACATCCACCACAAACCGGTTCAAAAAGAACCTCCGCACCAAACCGTGACCCAAGCCACAAACACAAACCCCCTAAGGTCACACCTTTCTCCTACGAACCCTTACTCCGTACACCTGACCCTTCTAGTCACAAAACCCATGCACTAACATATGAAACTCATATACCACATAGACACCATGCTAAGAAACACGAACCTGCTCTAAAGTCGTGCTTTAAGCACCGCACAAAATGCAACAAAAAGACTAGACTGATTACACACCAAATAGCTCAATCCACGAGCTAGAAGTCCGCACCATTCGTTCGATAAGAACCAGCACCCCAAACAACCCTAGAGCAACCGAACTCCTCGCCTACTCAGGTCAAAACCCACACAACCATCCATGCTCATTCGCATACTCCTATACATGTATACATATATATATATAATAACCGTATCCCATACCATAATACAATCATACCCTATCATTTAAATTTATTTATTTATTTATTTTAAAAATACTTGCATAACCATGCCTAATAACCATCACAATACCATGCTAGCTCGTTACTCGTCACATTAATATTTAAATTAGAACTACACACACCGTCCACTTTTCGTCACCATACTCCTCATACATAGTCAACATGCTTTCCTTTTCTTTCACATTTCATTTACACGGTTATATCATCTAATTATTCCTCGTACATGACCATATAACATAAACTTTAACATATAAACATATAAATGTACAAACGCATAGCAAGGAAGCATGTCTTTCAAAACTGTAAACACATAAACATGTAAACAAGTAGACAGTTACACATGCTTTTCAAATAACAAAACGCTTTAGCAAATAGTCACATAAATAATGCAAATGACTTCCCACACAACCCTAGGTAGGCCTCTACCCGTCGTCCTAATGGTTTTCGAACCATTGTTCTGATACCAAATTTGTAACGACCCGAAGCAGAGGGTCCGAATCGCTAACCGGGTCCTTACCTGAATCCAAGGTCAACTAAAAACATTACCGTCCTCTCCTATATCAATGCATAATATATGTGTCATCCCAGGGTTTATAAATAATAATAATAATAATAAAATGAGATCATAACTACAAAATATATCAAACAGTCCCTTAACCCATCAAAACTTGTGGAGGAACGTCGTTCGCCACTTTCTTCCCATGACCTAAAAAAATGTTAAAATGATGGGGTAAGCTAAACGCTCAGTAGGAAGTGTCTAAGACACACCTCTTATAACCCCGTGAATTTACATAGAGAATAGAAAGCAAGAGAATGAAATCATATCTCGGGAGTCAAGTAAAACCACTGTATCATCAACAAACATACATATCTCAACCAATTACCAAATGCACCACTTATGCCAATGATGTGCCATACCATGCAATGTCACTCCCCGTTTCCGAAACCATACCGTTTCAACTTCCAAACGGTTAGTGTAATCCGACCCAAGGCACCTCCAAGGCATTACGAAAAGGGGATTGGCTAACCATCCACGACCACAAAGCACCTCCAAGGCATCGCATCCGGCCTGGTTAGCCCAACCACACTAGGGTCTCTCTACAGTCCCCTCTAAACCACACTAACATCACGGACCACTAAGCGCCTCCTAAGCGTCCGGGTTTTCACAAACACTTTTCAAAACAAAACTTTTCCCCAAAACAATTTAATTGGTTTAAAAAAATACTTTTTCCCTTTTTCTTTCCCAATGGATGTATGAATACTTCATGCTTCACAGTTACCATAATTTTCACATCATCAAAGCTTAACAACATTTCATACTAAAGAAGAATTTTTTCACGAATTTATAGCATGCTTTAAGTCAACAAAATTTCTACAATTACAACAATTAAATATGGACATAATCACAAAAGCATGATTTTCATATCCAATCAATAAATCATACACACATATATTATTTACACATAACACACATAGAGATACACATCATATATCTAACATCATGGCAATTTCTCAAGAAAAATTTACAATAAATCACATACATTCCATCTACATCATGATCACATTATTAAGAGAAATCCTAACATTTATTTTCATAATTTCAACATCACTTTTCTTAACAATTGAAAATCATGGAGTACCTAAAATGTCAATACTAAGCATGTATCTTCACCACCAAGTATATAATCATAATCATTGGTTCAATTAATACATATAATACATTCATCACCTTAATTACATTCCACCACAACAATATAGGCAAAATTGCTAAAATCAAACATGCTTAGAATCAAATTAAAGGGGAAAACTCACAAAAGATTAAAGAAAATATGAATTAGAGCACCCCTACCTCTTAATTGTAGAAAAGCCTCAAATGGGTCCAAATTTTCGGAATTCTTAGAGTGGCCAAAAGCCGAAATTGTTTATATAAACTTGAAGATCTCACCGAGTTTTTCGAATTGACGCAAACGGAACTCAAAATTTCTCATCAGTTGAGAAGTAATCAAGGATAGAAGTTGTTGAAGAAAAAGAGAATTTTTTTTTCTTCTTTTCCAACAAGAGAGGCTGGTCATGAATCTGCCGAATGGTAATGGCTTAGTCATTACCTTTGTTATAATGCGTGTGATTCCCACCAATTATTTTATTTTATTTTATTTTCTTTTTTTCTACACCACACAATTACATATATACATTTAATAATTCACATCCACATAAATATAATAAATAAGATGCATGAGGTGCAAATGGACCCTACTAAAAATTAGTGTACGTAACAGTTCCGGTGGCGGGTCCCACACGGGACTGTCCGGCCTGAAAAACAGAAAAATGCAAAAATGGCAACCCTTACATTTCAAAGAGTCCTGAACTCAATGAAATGTCCCAATCAACTCTCGAACACACCCGGCACACCCCAAGGTGTCCGGTACGAAAAACGAAAAAAGACGAAAATACCCTCGAAAAATCAAAAAATTTCAGAAATTGAAAAATGGTAAAATTTGGAAACATTACAGTAGCTAACCAAATGATATGAGAAATTAACTTCTTATTTAATGCAAAAGGACTTTAGGAGAGGATGGAATAGATAAAATATTATTTATATTCAAGAAAAGAAAAGATTTTCTTATTACTCAAACTCAAGTGAATGGCGTTGTTTTTGGTTCTACATATGATAACATTGTTCATGAATTTGTTAAAAACACGAGTAATTCTTTTCGAATGAGCATTTTTAGTGAACTTTCTCTCTAGGTTTTCGAGTGAAACAAATTGATGAGAAGATATTTATTTCTCAAACTAAATATGTAAAGGCCTTAGTAAAGATTGAGTCTCTTAATAATTGCTTGGACCGTTAGAAGACCACTCAATTTTTTTAACAATTGATTATCTTCTACGTACTGAAATCAACTAAGTAAACCTGTCATTTTTTATGCACACCAAATTGCCCACTTTTCTAAATAATAATAATGGTAATTGCAACGCAACCATGTCATTCTTTATTTTCTAAAATTCATTTTCTTTCATACGCAATCCATGGTGTGCTCTGAATCAGTATGAACATTCAATGTGAATTATATGAATTAGCTACCCTCCTCACCCAAATTGCCCACTTTTCCGATCCTTAGATAAACAGGAAACTTAACAACCTTCCGGTCATTGCCATCTTCGCACCAAGCACGCTTAAATTCGTCGATCACATCATCCTTGAGGAGCTCGACACCCTTCTCCAATGCCGTCTGATATGCTGACCCTGATTTCTTGTATGCAAGATATTCCTCTAAATCCATCAATCTTTCTGTCTTGAATTCAAATGGCCCCGTGTGATCAGCTCCGTCCACCGGCTCAAATGGAAAGTCGATGCTCCTGTACTTGTCCGCGATCAATTCACGGCCAGGAGTACAATAGGGTCTTGATTCATCAAAGTAAAGTCGTCGAAAAATTGAGTCAATAGTGTCATTGACTTCGGGGACAGTGTAGGTCCAAGCTGCAATCACTCCATGGGGCTTTTTGAGTACTGTGTTCACTTGTTTGTAGAATGTGGGGAGGTGAAACCAATGCAAGGCTTGAGCTACGGTCACAACGTCAACGCTTGCTCGCGCTGCCACGCAGTGTTCGAGCTCGGCTATGGACATGTTGGGAGGGGTATATTGGTATCGGACATTGGGGAGTTTGGTTGCAAAGTCCAGTTGCTTTTGGCTGGTGTCTGTGCCTATCACATTCTTGTATATCCCAGCTAACTGAAAAGACGTAATTATGTTAGAATAGTACTATTCATATTACAAACTGAAGATGTTTTATTTTTGTTCAAATTCAGAAAATATAACCAATTCCATATCTTTATATTTGTCTTCCTATATAGAAGAAAAGAAAAGATTGTAACCTCATATATACATAAATTAATTGGACCACTCGGTAAAAATGCATGTGTGTATATATATAGAGTAAGAAATTGTACCTCATACTCCTTAATTTTTATTTTAAAGTAATATTATAATAGAAAATTCTTATAAGACAAGTCTTGATTTTCAAATAAGACATGTCTTGGCCGCTAAAGAATAGTATTAATTCCATATATACATAAATTAATTGGAAGAGTTAGAAATTGTACCTCATACTCCTTAATTTTTATTTTAAAGTCATATTATAATAGAAAATTCTTATAAGACAAGTCTTGATTTTCAAATAAGACATGTCTTGGCCACTAAAGAATAGTATTAATTCCTTCTTGTCTACTAAGGAATTTGGTATGAGAATCTATAAATAGACACCTAGGTTAGTGTTGATAGGTGTGAGAGGATAGACATGTAGCCTGTAAGGACAGCCTTGCGAAAGAGTGAGTTGTGTACAATTGGTAGAGAGAGTTTGTTAGAGAGGTGAAGAAAACATCTGGTGCATAGGTGTGTTTGATGAGTTTCCAAAGAGGATTTCTTCGTATTATATCTGTTCATTCAAGAAAGTTTCTGATTGAGAGGGTGTCTCGTAGTGCAAGGTGTATTGGTCGGGTATTGGTCCCTTACCATGGGAGTAAGAATATATCATAAAACACTCTAGGAGAACAGTTGGTGTACACGAGCCAATGTTCATGTAATACATTTACATGATTATAGTGGAATCTCCTTATCTATTGACATAACCCTTTGGGTGAATCATGTAAATCTTATGTTGTGCATGTGCACTATTGCATTATTGTTGTGGTAGGATCTTTAATATGGTTCCATATATTCTTTGTGATTTGTTGTGCCTAAAACACAAGTTTGTGAATACTTGGATCGATCAAAACTGAAGAAACTTCCATCACAGTAAGTTGGGATAACATCAATTGATTCATGGGAAACTTCCCTCGATTGAAGGGCACAACATCAGAAACAATAGGCGCGGGATTTGGTTTCCAAATTGAGATCTGGTTCACATTACAATGATGTTGATTCACGCTTCTTCCACTATGCACTAGTTCCAACACACACATATATATGCAGAAATGATAACTTGTATAACCGGTGAATACAAAATCTATTAACACTAAACAATTTATCATTGGGTATGATTATTATGTTTTTTTTTTTTTTTTATAGTAATTATCTATTTTACAAATAAATTATATGTAACGATTATTATGTTTGGTGTGGAGAATATTAGAGTGTTTCACAATTTCATCATAATGCTTTATTTGAGGCGGAGGTATATATGAAGAGCTTGAGGTGAAGCTATAAAGAGATCCTTATTCAAGGTGAAGTTATGGAGGAGCACATGAAGACATAGACTGATCATGTGTTGATTAGGTGAATGATTTGGGAGGTTGAAGATTTGTAGACTTGATTTGGCTACTGCCAATGTTGAACCGGTTCAGCGGGTGGTTCAAGACTGACGTCAACTTTGGTTATTACCAAAGTTGAACCGATTCAGTTTTTTTTTGAACTGGTTCAAGTTGGGCAGTGAATTGCACCACGTATCATAATAAAGTTAAAGCGGTTCAAGTGTAGCTGAACCGGTTCAACTATCCTTGGAAGTTACGTGAATTGATTTCTTTATTGGTTTTGGAATTGGGAAAGAAATTGTACCTGCTATTTCAGAGTTGAAGACAGATATGATAACTCCCTTGTTGGCAAGTTGGGGAATACTTGTCCAGTAAGAAATTGGGTTTTGAAGACTCTATAAATAGAGATGGGTTTAGAGAAAGAAAATTCTAGAGAGAAAAAGATGGTTGAGATTGTGAGGAAGAAAAGAGTGTGTAATCAAGTTTTTTAAGTAAAGTTAATCGTTCTTCGCCCGTGGGCTAGGAAAATTTTCAAACCACGTAAATCTCGTTTTACTTATATGTGTGCGTTTTTTATCTATTATATTTATCAATTGTGTGTGAAACCCTAACAACTGGTATCAAAGTCATGACGACAACTATTACAAATGGAAAGTACGTGGTTGAGAAGTTTGATGGAAGAAGGAACTTTAGTCTTTGGAAAGTTCGGATGCAGGATTTACTGATTCATCTTAGTCTAGGAGATGCTCTGGGTAAGCAACCAGAAAAAATGGAAGACACATATTGGGCGAAGATCAACTTGAAAGCAATGGGTGCGATTCAATTGACGTTGGCGAATGATATTATGAATGATGTGATAAAACAAGATTCGGCAGCAGACATGTGAAAGAAGGGGTGAGCCTACAAGAACATCTTGGTGAGCTCAACAAAATTATTTATGATTTGCCTAATATTGATGTAAAGTTAAGTGATGAGGATAAAATAATTATTTTGTTAACATCGGTAAGCTCTACCCATAAACATTTATTCAATACTTACCATTTCGGTGGAATAAGTTAAGAGTGTTTTGTTCTCTAATGAAAGTTAAATGATGAAAAAAGTCGTGATGCCCAGGCTCAAGTTTTTATTGTTCAAGATAAAAAGAGATTTAGAGCTCCGAGAAACCTTGTGCCATTGTCAGAAAAAAGATGCTATAAGTGTGGAAGAAAGGGACATATTCAATGGTATTGTCCAGAAAGAAAGGAGAGTGCATCCACTGATGTTGTTGTGTGTGAAGATACGAAAGAAGAGAGTGATAATGATGAAGCATTATCAATCATTGATAATAAGGGAGAAGCTAAGGAATAAATATTTGATCCTGCTTGTTCCTTTCATGTGTGTTCTCATAAAGAATGGTTTGCTACCTACAAACCTGTAAGTAATAAGGTATATGTGGGGAGTACTGATGTTATGGGAATTAGAATAATTAAAATCAAGACAACAAATGCATGGTTTGGTAAGAACTCTAACGAATGTACGTCATATTCCAAGTGTTGGAAGGAATGTAATCTCTGTAAGAGCATTGGATTCCAAGGGTTGCTGGTATGAAGTGAAAAATGGATTGATGAAGATTAGAAGAGGGCCACGTGTTATGCTTTTGGGAAGGAAGGTCAACAAACCTTATATTTTGCTAGAAATACTATACTAGGTGGAGCAATTGCAAAGACGGAATGGAAGCCTGTTTCGAGATCTACTAGAATGTAGAATCAAGAACAGCAAGAGAAAGAAGAGGTCTTGACAATTGCAAAAGCACCAGCCTTTATCCCAAAAGCAAGAAGAGTTTAATTTGGTGATGCGAAAGTAGATTCCAAGTTTAATTATTTGAACTTGGAATTTGCTAAGAATAGATGAGTATGGTGGTGTGGCGAAGAACAATAAGAAGAAGAATGGTGAAATTTGAGAAAATGTGGAGACTGTTTGAGTGTTTCTCAATTTTATCATAATGCTTTATTTGAGGTGGAACTATACATGAAGAGCTTGAGATGAAGCTATAAAGAGATCTTTGTTCAAGGTGAAGCTATGGATGAGCATGTGAAGACATAGACTGATCACATGTTGATTACGTGAATGATTTGGGAGGTTGAAGATTTGTAGACTTGATTTTGGCTACGGCCAAAGTTTAACCGATTCAGTGGGCTCTGAACCGGTTCAAGTGTGGCGTCGACTTTGGCTACTATCAAAGTTTAACCGGTTCAGTTTTCTTTGAACCGGTTCAAGTTGGGCAATGAATTGCACCACGTATGGCAATAAAGTTGAACCGGTTCAAGTGTAGCTGAACCGATTCAACTTTCCTGAAAAGTTACCTGAATTGATTTCCTTATTGGTTTTGGATTTGGGGAAAAGGCTGTAGATTTGGGGAACAAGTTGTACCTGCTATGGTAATTCTTTTGTAGGCAAGTTGGGGAATACTTGTTAAACAAATTGGGTTTTCAAGGCTCTATAAAAATAGATGGGTTTAGAGAGAAAAATTTGTAGAAAGAAAAAGAGAGTTGAAATAAAAAAGTGTGTAATCAAGTTTTTGAAGTAATGTTAGTCATTCTTTGCCTATGCACTAAGTAATTTGCCAAACCAAGTAAATTTCGTTTTACTTGTGTGTGCTTGCGCTTTTTATGTGTTATATATGTTAATTGTGTGTGAATATATATTTTCTAAAAAATAATTACTAATTTTATTAGTCATACTAAACTTGTTGAACACTAATTTAAAATTTAGTATTAATAGCCCATATAAAAAGCTCGATTAAGAGCTTGTATTTTTTTAATTCAGACAAAAAAACTAATAAAACCTTTAGGAAATGAAGAGAAGCAAAAACCTAAGGTTATACAGAGGGAGTGTGTGTGTGTGTTTTTTGTGGTGAGAGAAACTCACAGATTTTGCGGCCTGGCCGCTGCCGGTGCCGACATCCCACGCAAGGTCGTGTTTGGGTGTCTTTGACGCTATGAATTGGAAGAGTGCTTGTGGGTAACCTGGTCGACTCTTTGAATACAGCTTCGCCTGTTTGAGATACAAATTAGCCATATTCTCTCTCTAGAGATCGGTACCAAGCTTTTCTCTATCTCTTAAATAGTTTTATGAACTCATGTGAAGACCGGCTAGCAGACCTCTAAGAACATATATATGCAACAGCAATAGTTTATGCTCGTCTCTATACAAGGAGAAATTTTTTATTTTTTTTTAGAAGTTTGTATATATATATATTTATGTAAATCTTGTATCAGCCTTTATTTCTTTCTCAATTATTATTATATTATATATGATGGAGTCCACCTAATGGTGCCAAGAGTTCAAGGATTTTCAAACCTCATTGTTATTATGTTATGAACATATATGGTGGAGTCCAGCTATAACATGGTCCAAAAAGTCCAAGGATAGTCAGACCAGACTTATCTCATATGAAGCAAATATGAGCTGTATTTCTAATATACATGTACGACATGAAGTAAGTGGTGCATGTATTTGGGCTGGCTTTGTAGGTGTCAAAAGAAAAGTGAAAACTTTGAAAAGGTAATCAATGAGGTGGCTCTTATGTCTTTCCGCCATGTCATATGCCATCTACAAACACATTTATAAATACCTGCAATAATAAATAAATTAAGAAATAATATAATACAAACTGAATAAAAAAAAAAAAAGTCAAAACACACAAGCAGACCATACAGGAAGAAGAATAGCAACGAGAGTGACCCAAAGGTCAAGCCATCATCAAGACAACAGCTCAAAAACTGCATCCACAAAGCACCGCCGACTGAAAAAAATCACCCAAACCCCGCACAAAAAGGCAGAGACACCAAAACCCAACATAGATCAGAGATCTAGCCGGAGACAAAACACTAAATTCACCTTGTCGAGCCAAAAGCAAGCCAACCAAGAGTAGATCTAACCAAACAACAGCAAAACGACGTAAAACCCACCTACCAAACGAACTTATTACACCGCGTTGAGCTTATCAAGCGGTGGGAGGTAACTACCAGCCCCTCCCCACTCCCATGGGAGGGAGGGAGGAGCAAAAGAGAGAAGATGAAAGGAAGGCGGCTGAGGTTTATAGAGAGGCTAAAGAAAAAGTCCCCTTCTAACGTCAGTTCTTATCAACGTGAAATTCTGGTCAACTGAAAGGTTCTTAGTTTTCCTTCTCACATTAAAAAGTAAGAAATTTAGCTATTTATATTTCTCAGAATAGCAAATGAGAATAAGGCTTCTATGTTATTTTTATGCTTATTTAAATTATTTTCTAAAGTTGATAAGTTATTTGTAAGTGTACCATTTGTGAACCTGAAGTTTCACATGCACCTGATATTATCCATGGATCTGAAGTTTCGGGAAGACAATATATTTCACGAGCCTAGTGGTTCATGAAAGTATTGGCTGAAGTCTTTTATATTTTTGAGAAACTTGAAGTTTTGGAAATTTGCTAGCTTGTTAAAGTAGCTGAAAAATAAATTTTGTTAGTGTCATTTAAATGTTATTATTGTTACCTTTTATTTTATCACTATACGGGCATCCACATAGAAAAGAAATATTGTGTTCTTTTACTTCCTTTTCGCATTCTCTGTACTGGTATTCAAATTTTGCTTTCATTATAAGTTTTCTAACTTAGTTCTTACTAACATCATATTGAAATATATGACAACTTATATGATTATAACTATGTTCTTGTACATTTATTATATCTTGATAATGTCAAATCTGACAAAACTTAAATATGTTGACCTTGATATTACGGAAAATAATTACTTATCATGAATCTTTGAAAAGATTTAATTTTATGTCATGAATATTGAAAATAATCAACGGGTCAGTGGCCTAGTAATATCAGCCTCTTACCTCTCAAAGGGAGGTTAGGAATTCAAGTCTCAGAAGAGACGTATGTGTGAGTACCAAAAAAAAAATTGAAAATACAATTAAAAGAGGAAATCAAGGCTGCACAAAAGTATTGATTTTTATTTGTCTTTATTTTAATGAGGAACTAAAGCTCAATATGACTGGATGCACCTCTTATTACAGGAATTTAAAATTGTGAATGTGTAATTTAGCCTTATTTAAAATCAACTCATGATTGAAATTATGTAAAGAAAAATTACTATAAAGATGTGCTCGTGAAGTAGCAATATAAATGTACTCCTGAAGTAGCAATATTGAGAGCAATAGTTTATAAAATATTCTAAGTTGATATCATATCTATTAATGTCTCAACAAATTAATGAGCTTTTGATAAATAAAAAAAAATCACTAGTCTAGTCCAACTAGATTGGTAGCATTCCATGAAGCGAATGCAACCTCATTTCATAATTCTGGACATGGTAACAGTCATAGGTATGACCATGGTAGAGGTAATGTAGACACCCAATTTTTGCCCTCCACTTTTCACAATTTTTTTTCTTTTCTCGGTACCAACCTTGAACCCCTAATCTTAGGGTTGAGAGTTTAGACCCAAGCCCAATAGGATAAAGGTAGGCCAATCCTTTTTCACATTACATACCGCATTGCCATTTCCCGAGACTGGTTATCGGTAAGGCCCACATACTACCTAAAACTGAGAACTGAGAATCTGACCGTTTGATCAAAAATTGGACTACACCATCACACTTAGGACATCTCAAAGCCTTAAAAAACACTTAGATCTACCACATCATGCACTTCCCAGCACCTAATCACTAATTCGCCATAAAGGGCAAAATTGAGACCTTACATTATGATCCCCACATCCAATTTTCAAAATGACAAAAGGATTTCACCATTGAGTCTAGAGCACCCAAAAACCCTAGGGTACACCTTTTCTTATGGCCTCTGTCCTTCTTCGTCATTCAGTTTGACCAAGCCCTTCGGTGGGGCTCGAACGATCAACCCTGAGTTTAACTTTTCACATCGATGGTCAACATTACACACAAAACTCACCATTGTGCTTAAAAGGCCCAAAACCCTTGAAAAGAACTGTAATATTGCCTACCTTCTAGCCCGAGCCTACCTTTGACCAAGTTTCTATGATAGGAGTCAAACGGTCAACTTCGAGGTTTGACTTTTCCAACGAAGAGTAAAATGGACAAACAAACATCGCCAATGAGTTTAACAGGTCCAAAAACCTTAGAAACCATTATAATATTGGCTATGTTCCGGTCCGAGGTCCCTTTGACCAAAATTCCACTCCCAAGGAAAATCAATAAATTCACCACCATGCAGAGAATTTCCAGACCTCACAAAAGGACAAAATATGCCACATCAAATATGTGACATCATCGTGAGGTCAAAAATCTCAAAAATTGATCAGAAATTCAAAAAAGGACACCTAGGGTGTCATGTGGATTCACGCGACACCTTCATTCCTTTTCCTATTTAGGTGGTGAGCCCTCCACCTATCCTTTACCTTTTTAGAAATTACACTTCGGTCCTTAGAAATTGTTTTTTAGTCCTTTAAAAATTGCTTTTTAGTTCCCTAGTAATTGCACTTTAATCCCTTATTTACCAACAGAAAAGACCCTTATTCATCACATTCATGACACACAATCCTTATATTAGTAGAAACTCTCTCTCTATAATATCTCTCTCTACAATAATATACATATACATAAACACACACAAACACATGCCAAATCTTTACACATTTCTCACGCTACTACACACACTCCTCTCCATTTCTTCTTATTTTTTTCTCTCTCTACACTTGTAGAAAGGAGTCTCTTGCTCACCAAAAGCTAGCAATACATCTATGGCTTGAAAGAGGAGGAAAGAGCCACCACAAAGGAGGACTACACATCAAAGTGTGTAAAAAGTTCATTTCTTTACTTATCTCCTTTTATTTCCTTGTCTACTTTCATTTATCTGTCTTTATTGCCCTCTTTCTCATTATCTTGTTATCTTTTCATGGATATTTGATTGAAGCTCACATCTTTATGGGAGTGGTTTCTACGATGATGGTGAACGGTTTTCGAACACTGGTCCACTAGAAACCAAGATCGTAGAGATGTGTACATTTTGTCACTACAATTGAGGTGGCTAGAAATATAGAGTACGGGTTCGAATGCCATACGTCTACCCACCAAAATCATAGAGACAAAGTATTCCTAGCATTTTTCAATCTCTAACAATTTTTTAGGTGTTTTGTGTTCATGACATTACATTTGCATTAAACTGGTCACAAACACGAGTACACGCGTGTTTATTTCAACCGGATGACATTCTTGTCAAACCGTTGTTATAATGAACATTATACACATAAAAGGTGGTTCATGTGAGGTCTCTACAACCTTTTAGAAGCTAACCAAAGTGATTTCCTTTCATAGGAAGCACCGGTAGCTTTTTTGATTTTGGAACCACCACCGTCTTACTTTTTTACACTAAACACCTTCTAAATCATCATCCCAAGGATTCTCGACACTTTTTGCTCCCAAAACTAGCATTGCGTTCACTTTCTACCACTCTCGCTCTCAAAATCGACTGTCTTCAAAATGGTCATTTTTTTCTTTAAAAGAGTCCATTATTGTCATTTTTGACATTCTAAAACCTTTTTTTTTTTTTTTTTTTTTTTTTTTTTTTTTTTATTGAAATGGCCACTTTTGTCATTTTTGACACTTTAAAATGAACTTCCCACAAAGTGGTCATTTTTGTCTCTTTTGGCATCAAAAACATCTTTTAACAAAAAAATTATTTTCGCCACTTTTGACACTTCAAAACCCATTTTTGTTGAAGTGGTCATTTTTGTCACTTTTGACACTTGAAAACCCACTTTTGTAATGGTCATTTGTGACACTTTGGAAACCATTTCTAGCAAAGTGGTCATTCTTGCTTCTTTTGGTACCTAAAACACCTTTTGCGTCAAAATGGTCAATTAAGGGCACTTTTGATACTAAAACGTTTTTGTAAACAAAGTGATTATTTTGGTCACATTTTGAGTCATCAAAAACCACTTCAAGTGAAGTGTGTATTTTTCGAGTCTTAGAAAATAACCTTTAAGAAAAATTACCATTTTCGAGTCCAAAGTTCACTTTACTCCCCCTTCGATTCATACCAAATCAAACATATCATTTTGTAAAATATCAAAAATACGATTTAAATAAACCAATGCACTTTCCAAAACAAGCGCAAACACTTTATACATACACACACATCCCGATAGCACATAAGTTCTCAAAATCATCCCTCATTTAAAGAAACTTGGTGAGAAATAATAATCGTTGTAAATCAAGTCAAGAGCTACTAGATGGGGGAGTTGCAAAGCCAAAGACGGTAAGCAATTAGTTTTTAGTAGAGTGAATTAGAAGTGATAAGCGCTGAATATTTCATATTTGATCCCTTAAACGTACATATGCTAATGCCTTAGCAGTGCCTTTATATTGGTTCTTATGTTTATTTTCGTGTATTTTCTATTTGTAGGTCTTTACCCGAATATATGGTTAATTCCACGGATTTGAATCTTGGAATGGTGTCCCCAATGCTTAAGAAGATACTCCGAGCCTTTCGAGTCAATTTGGGAGTTAACCAGGAAGAATTGAAGAATTTCAAGCCTTAGAGCTCAAGCACAGATCCTCAGTGCTCGAGCACTGATTGAAGAAAAGTAGAAAAATGTCTAAGTGTTTAGAGCTCGAGCACAACACCTTAGTGCTTGAGCAAAGAGCCAAAAAGCTCGAGTATTAACCATAATGCTCGAACACTAATCAAAGGGGAAAAAAAATTAATAAAATTAAATAAAATTTGACTAAGTGTTGAAGGAAAAGATGCTTTGGAAATTGTAGATCAAGCACTGAGACCTAGTGCTCGAGCACAAGACCCCAGAGCTCTAGCACTAAAGGTTAGTGCTCGATCCTGGAAGTTTTGAATAAGTGCGGGAATGCTATAAAACTCCTTTTCTCTGTTTCCATATGGGCCTAATTGTCCCTAAAAGCT